GGCTGCCAATTCTGCCTCTTTGCAAATGGCGCTCCTCTCTCTAGCCTTCTCCATACGCTCAACCGTTTCTTCTGGCTGATTCTCACTCGCTCTTTAATTTCAACACTGCCTTCTTGGTGACATCTCCCAGGATCCTCTGCTTCTTTGGTTTTCTAAAACTGATTTTCATTTTATTTGAGAGGCAGAGACAGAGAGGCCTCTTCCATGCGCTGGTTCACTCCCCAGATACCCGAGGGCTGGGCCAGGTCACAGCGCGTGCAGGTCTCCCACGTGAGTGGCAGGGACCCCAGCACGAGCGCCATCATCTGCTGCCTCCCAGGGAGTGCATTCCAACCAGGCTTTCTTGTACGGGATGTGGGCACCCCAGGCCCCGACTTAGCCAAACACCTTAACCTGTAGGGCTTTAAGAGGCCTCCTTGCTACATTCTCTCAGAGAATTCTGTAGTTTGCTTCAAAACTCTGATGGTGTAACTGTAAAAATATGATACTCCCATTAGCTCCGATGTTCACGGCGTCCACACAGCCTGGCACCATGTTCACGGTGTCCACACAGCCCGGCACGTGTTCATGGCATCCACACAGCCTGGCATGTGTTCTCGGCATCCACACAGCCTGGCACCATGTTCACGGTGTCCACACAGCCTGGCACCATGTTCACGGCGTCCAAACAGCCCGGCGCCGGGTTCATGGCATCCACACAGCCCGGCATATATTCACAGCGTCCACACAGCCCGGCGCCCAGTTCATGGCATCCACACAGCCCGGCACCATGGTCATAGCATCCACACAGCCCGGCGCCGGGTTCTCCTGCTCTTCCCTGAGTGGAGAAATAAAGTAACACAGGCAGGAAGCAGAGTAGCAACTCCTGCCGGTTTCTCAGCTCAGGGTCTCCCAGGCGCCTGGGAGGTGTTGATTTCTACAAACTGGGCAGTGGCCCTGTGGGACTTCCCACACCACACGTGTCACCAACAGAAGGCTGTGAAACAGTGAGGTGGGACCGCGGGTGCAGTAATTCCAGCAGGAAGGGAGGGAGGGGCCCTGCACGCGGACGGCCGGTCACCGGCAGCAGCGAGCGCCTCGCTGCCACCCCCAAGAACACTTTACGGCTCCGTGCCTGGGTTCACGTTACTGGCCCAGCACCTGCACACTCCACGGCTCTATCTGAGTGTGTGTGGCCGCGGCCAGGGCAGGAGTGCCCCCTCCCGCCCCCAGCGTGGAACTGAAAAGGAAACTTGGAAACAAGTGCAGGGTTGCGTCTCGCCACGAACTCATCTACTTCTATTTTATTTACGTTTTCCCTTTAGGTGGCTCCCGTAATGACTTCAGTCCTTGAGAAACGGGCAGGAAGGGGGCGCGGAGAGAACAGGAGAGAGCTGGCGTGAGGACGTGGCGAGGCGCAGACCTGTGCCGAAATGCCCCCTGGGGAGTGAGACCAGGTGCACTGCTCTCAGAACCCTGTAGCCTGTAACACCCACCCCAGGCGTGAGGGAGTCCTCCCCCAACCAGGCGCGAGAGCACCCTCCCATCGGGCGCGAGAGCCCTCCCCGCAGGCTCGCGAGCACCACCCGAGGCGCGAGAGCTGGGAGCTTGACCAAACCCGCAGAGCCTTGTCCCTCACTGCCACCATCGATTCTGCCTCGACGCCCGACGCCGCCCTTGGAATGACAAGATTTTGGACTGAAGACTCGAGTTTCATCTTTGTCACAGCCCAGCCAGTCCTACCCACCTATCGAGTGGAAACCTCCTCCCTCTGATTCTCAAAATCCTCATCTTGCTGTGCCCTCCTCCCTCAGGCCTGTGCGGGCTCCCGGGGATGCTCTCAAAATGCCCCGGTAGTAGGGAAAGCGGCACGGGGCTGCGCCCGCCTGCTGTGGCCATGACCACCACACACAAGGCCCCCAGGGAGGCCGTCAGTGCTGCCCCACGTCACCCACGACACTCTCACATCAACGCCACCAAATCCAACTTCTCTTCTAGTACACATTTCCAAGCCCGACTTCCACACGTCTGCTCAGCGGACTGATGTGGATGGCGTGCCGTGCACACACACACATGTGCATGCTTGCATACATACACACATGTACACACACACACACACACACACACACGTGTGCCCACCAGGGCAGCAAAGGCCTGTTTTCAAAGGTTATTGAATTCATGTCCATAAAAGGCCAACTACTGCACTTTCCACAAGTGGACTGTTGCTACCCAACCGATCCGTTTGGGCAAAATAAAGGGGAAAAAAAGGAAATCCTAGAATAGCTTCGTCTTAAAAATAAAATATCAGCAAGGAAGCGACCCACTTCCTAAATTGCCTCGCAGAGGGTTAGCAGGGTGAGCACCAGAGAAGAACCTGCCTGGTGTTCACACGGGTGGGACACGGAGGGGCTGCAGATGCCACACCCTGCAGTCTGCAGCGGCCGGGGCAGTGTCTCAGCGCTGGGGGAAGCACTTGGACGTCCTCCTCTGGCCGGAACAGAAATACGCGTTCTCTAAGGCCCGCAGTCCAGTGGGAGCCGCCGACCAGAGGCTGGCAGAGGTGCTGCCGTCACCCAGCACAGCGAGAAGTAACTCCGCGGGGGAAGACGAAGGACGGCGTAGCCGACGGGACCCGTGTGCGAGGGCCCGGGGAGAGCGCAGCTGGGGAGGCACCAAGGGCCCAGAATGGCGTTCCAGGAAGAGGGAGTGCGCAGAGGTCTGTTCACCAGTCTGGCCAAGCCACGCGCACCTCAGCACTGCACAGGACAGCAGCCGTGGCCGCGTCCACTCTCGTCCCACCCGGGCCGCGTCCACTCTCGTCCCACCCGGGCCGCGTCCGCTCTCGTCCCACCCGGGCCGCGTCCGCTCTCGTCCCACCCGGGCCGCGTCTGCTCTCGTCCCACCTGGGCCACGTCCACTCTCGTCCCACCCGGCCGGCTCCTCCTCGTTTGGAAGCTGCTTCTAGTCAGTGCCACTCTCACGCTCTGCACAGCTTTGCCTCGTTTGCTCGTCTGTTTCCTGCCCCGTCCCCAAGAGACTGCGGCCCACGACCCTAAGAACTTGGTTTCCCTCCTCCTTGGCTCTTGGCTGGCCCAGCATATTCAAAGGAATATCTGTGAAAAGTGGTCCAGAGCCTCCATGCAGTCGGGAAAAAATCAAAAACCCATAACCAGGCAGTGAGGCCGCCCCGTCTCCAAGGCCTCTCCCCCACTCTCATCTTGCGCTGCTGTCACTCACTGGCCTTACATCTCCCCTCCTTCTGGAATGTTCTTCTCCCACTCCTCCTCGTCCTTTAGATGTCAGAACGTATCTCCTCCCATCCGAGTCCCTACTGCGTGCCAGGAGCTAGGGCCTGGCTGCTGACAAATACAGCAGGGGACAAACAGGGGAGAAAAAAAATGCCTCTCCTCAACCTGTCTAAATCACACCCTTCTGTTGGACACCTTCTTGGATTCTTGCACGTTGGAACACTGCGGGGAACGCCCAGGTCCCAAGTCCAGCCCCTCTGCTGATTCCCCGGCAGGAGGTGTGCGTGCGCATCAAACCACACTGCAGCACCCACCAGGCTCAGCACGGGGAGGGAGCGGGCAGCGGCCTGTGAAGACCAGCAGCTGGGGGTCAGGAGGAGAGACGGGGGTCGGGGTGAGGGGCTGATGCGGATGGCAAAGCTGAGAACTCGAGGCACCCCCAGAACACGGCAGCTTCTCTTTGTCTCCCACACACACCTTCCCCAGCCCAGCTCAGTCGTCCGTTTGATAGAGTGATATGTGAAAGTATTATCGGAATTTACGTACTGCATCAATATAATCTCATTGCTCTTTTACCAAGCAAAAACCATCTGAGAAGCACGTGTTGCATCAAGCTAGTTTGCTCCTCCTCTACAAAGAAAATAAATCTATTTGGGTTGGTCATGTGGCACAGCAGAGTCTGCTGAGTCCTGGCCCCTCTGCTTCTGATCCAGCTCCCTGCACACACACACGGATAGCTCAGGTACCCGGGCCCCTGACACCCACATGGGAGACCTGGATGGAGCTCCAGGTTCCTGCCTTCAACCTGGCCCAGCTCCAGCTGCTGTGGGCATCTGGCGAGTGAATCCGTGGATGGAAAATATTTCCTGTCTTTCAAATAAAATGAAAATCAATTTTTAAAAATTAAAATGTACATATATTTGAACCATTACTATGAGTTTTTCCATTGCATAATTACTTTTTTTTTTAATTGAGCTATAACCCTCACAGCATGAGACTTCCGCTTGTAGGGGCCTGGTGCCATAGCACAGTGAGCGAAGATTCTGCCTGTGACGCTGGCATCCAATACTGGAGTCCTGGTTCAAGTCCCAGCTGCTCCATTTCCAATCTATCTCCCTGCTAATGAGGCTGAGAAAGCAGCAACAGATGGCTGTAGACTTGAGCCCCTGCCACCCAGGCTGGAGTTCTGGGCTCCTGGCTTTGGCCTGGTCCAGTCCTGGCTGTTGCAGCCACTTGGGGAGTGAACCAGAACATGGAAGACCCCTTTCTCTAAACATCCCCCCACCTGTCACTCTGTTCGTCAAATAAATAACACATCTTTTAAAAATTTTACTCTTTGCAAGTGTGTCATTCCGTGGTTTTACACTCAAAAAAGCTGTGTGCTCACCAGCACTATCTAAACCCAGAACATCTTTAGCACCCCAAAACGAAAGCCTGGGCCCGTCGGCCGCCGTCTCCCACTCTCTCCTTCCCTCTGCAAACGAGCGGGGTCACGGTGTGCGGCCTTTAGCGTCCGGCTCCCTTCGCCTCACGCACCGTCTAGGCCACGCATCAGTACCGCACTCCTTTTCCTGTGCTGCTTACCTGAGTGCTTGCTTTCCCCGATACACTCACAGATCTACCAGCAGTTGTCCTACGCGGAGGAGCTATGTAACACGGCATCGTCACAAAGAACTTACTTGCACTGGGCATGAAAATATTTGATCAGATTCTGAAGCAAATCCACTCCCTTTTTAATCTTGATTTCATTGACCTTCAGCAGATACTGTTGAAAGAGAGAGAGAGAGAGAGAGATTGTCACAGAAGGAAGCAGAACACGAGATTCATGGGAGCCTCCGAGCGCAGCGTCTCCGCGTCTTCTACAAGGGGACAGCTTACGGCAAGTGCTTGGCATCTCCGGACGTCGCGACTCAGTGACTCAGCCTGCTGCCACACGAGCCACCTGACGGTCAGGCAGTCGGACGTGCAAGTGCCAGAATCCCACTAACCAGACGCTCTAGCAGCAGGCGCTGCTCCAGCCTCCCGGAAGACTGAAGATGAAAAGGATTTCTGCCCCTCTTGACTCCTGCTGTGTACATACTCTGTCCCAAGTACCTTTTTTCTAGATGGGTCATTACCCAGAATGCCAGCTGCTGCGATTCTGTGGCTAAGACCCTTGTCATCACGTCTCTAACCCCAAGACACTCGACATCAAAAAAAAAAATCAATTATTACAAAGAGCAAATTGAAATGAATTAAGCCCACTTTTAACTTGGAAAATTCATTAAAAGCCATTAAAACATTAAGAAGCCCCAGGGACCTGCAAAACCAGCATCAGGAAATACATTTGGTCTTTTTTTTTTTTTTTTTTTTTAAAGATTTTACTTATTTATTTATTTGACAGGTAGAATTACAGACAGTGAGAGAAACAGAGAGAAAGGTCTTCCTTCCGTTGGTTCACTCCCCAATTGGCTGCAATGGCCGGCACTGCGCAGATCCGAAGCCAGGAGCCAGGTGCTTCCTCCTGGTCTCCCACGCGGGTGCAGGGCCCAAGCACTTGGCCATCCTCCACTGCCTTCCCGGGCCACAGCAGAGGGCTGGACCAGAAGAGGAGCAACTGAGACTAGAACCGGCACCTGTATGGGATGCCGGTGCCACACGCAGAGGATTAACCTACGGCCCCTGTTCTTTCCTAAACATTTGTAGAACAAGGTAACTCCCTGTGGAAGAAATCTGAGCATCTCTTCTTTGAGACAGGAAGCCTCTGCACCAGCCACTGTACTGGGCTGAGTCACGCGGCACTCAGCTGTAATGCAGGGGTAGAATGTGTGCACCTGCTCTCCAGGGCTGTCCCGTGACACTGCTCTCCCAGGGCTGTCCTGTGTGCACCTGCTCTCCAGGGCTGTCCTGTGTGCACCTGCTCTCCCAGGGCTGTCCTGTGTGCACCTGCTCTCCCAGGGCTGTCCTGTGACACTGCTCTCCCAGGGCTGTCCCATGTGCACCTGCTCTCCCAGGGCTGTCCTGTGTGCACCTGCTCTCCCAGGGCTGTCCTGTGTGCACCTGCTCTCCAGGGCTGTCCCGTGACATTGCTCTCCAGGGCTGTCCTGTGAGCACCTGCTCTCCAGGGCTGTCCTGTGACACTGCTCTCCAGGGCTGTCCTGTGTGCACCTGCTCTCCCAGGGCTGTCCCATGTGCACCTGCTCTCCAGGGCTGTCCTGTGACATTGCTCTCCCAGGGCTGTCCTGTGACACTGCTCTCCAGGGCTGTCCTGTGTGCACCTGCTCTCCCAGGGCTGTCCTGTGACACTGCTCTCCAGGGCTGTCGCTCCCCATCTTCGTGGAGGAACGACACAGGACCCTGCACTGTTCTTTCGTCTGCTCGGCCCTCCCCGGGTTTGCTGCTGGTTCTTCCCGGGTTGACTACCATCCCTTCCACCTCCGTGGAAGGGCAGTTCCCCCTGGCCACTTTCCCCACTTCCGCGGGGAAGCGGCACACCGCCGGCTGGCTCTCTCGGGGGCTGCACAGGTGTTCCTCTTAGATGTTCCTCTTAGATGTTCCTGGTGCATGTTGTCTCTCTCCTCCTTTATAGTCCTCTTCCACCAATCCCAACTCTGCTACCCACACGCCGAGTACGCTGCTCTCCTCCAATCAGGAGCAGGTCCTGCTGCTTATTGGTTGAACTGGAGGCAGCTGTGTAGAAGCTGTTTCTCCCTTCTCAGCGCCATATTGTGGGAGAGCAGATGCATAGAATAAGTCTTAATTCCGGTAACTTAGTCTAGTCCGAGTTGCTCCCCACAAGGGCTGTCCTGTGTGCACCTGCTCTCCAGGGCTGTCCTGTGTGCACCTGCTCTCCAGGGCTGTCTCATGAGCACCTGCTCTCCAGGGCTGTCCCATGAGTACCTGCTCTCCAGGGCTGTCCTGTGACACTGCTCTCCAGGGCTGTCCTGTGTGCACCTGCTCTCCCAGGGCTGTCCTGTGTGCACCTGCTCTCCAGGGCTGTCCCATGTGCACCTGCTATCCAGGGCTGTCCCATGAGTACCTGCTCTCCAGGGCTGTCCTGTGACACTGCTCTCCAGGGCTGTCCTGTGTGCACCTGCTCTCCCAGGGCTGTCCTGTGTGCACCTGCTCTCCCAGGGCTGTCCTGTGTGCACCTGCTCTCCAGGGCTGTCCCATGTGCACCTGCTCTCCCAGGGCTGTCCTGTGTGCACCTGCTCTCCCAGGGCTGTCCTGTGACACTGCTCTCCAGGGCTGTCCTGTGTGCACCTGCTCTCCAGGGCTGTCCTGTGTGCACCTGCTCTCCCAGGGCTGTCCCATGTGCACCTGCTCTCCCAGGGCTGTCCCATGAGCACCTGCTCTCCCAGGGCTGTCCTGTGACACTGCTCTCCCAGGGCTGTCCCATGAGCACCTGCTCTCCCAGGGCTGTCCTGTGAGCACCTGCTCTCCAGGGCTGTCCTGTGTGCACCTGCTCTCCCAGGGCTGTCCCATGAGCACCTGCTCTCCAGGGATGTCCTGTGTGTACCTGCTCTCCCAGTGCTGTCCCATGAGCACCTGCTCTCCCAGGGCTGTCCTGTGACACTGCTCTCCCAGGGCTGTCCCATGAGCACCTGCTCTCCAGGGATGTCCTGTGTGTACCTGCTCTCCCAGTGCTGTCCTGTGTGCACCTGCTCTCCCAGGGCTGTCCTGTGTGCACCTGCTCTCCCAGGGCTGTCCTGTGTGCACCTGCTCTCCCAGGGCTGTCCTGTGACACTGCTCTCCCAGGGCTGTCCTGTGTGCACCTGCTCTCCAGGGATGTCCTGTGTGTACCTGCTCTCCCAGGGCTGTCCCATGAGCACCTGCTCTCCCAGGGCTGTCCTGTGACACTGCTCTCCTAGGGCCGTCCCATGAGCACCTGCTCTCCAGGGCTGTCCCATGTGCACTTGCTCTCCCAGGGCCGTCCCATGAGCACCTGCTCTCCCAGGGCTGTCCTGTGCGTACCTGCTCTCCAGGGCTGTCCTGTGAGCACCTGCTCTCCAGGGCTGTCCCATGAGCACCTGCTCTCCCAGGGCTGTCCTGTGTGCACCTGCTCTCCCAGGGCTGTCCTGTGTGCACCTGCTCTCCAGGGCTGTCCTGTGAGCACCTGCTCTCCAGGGCTGTCCTGTGTGCACCTGCTCTCCCAGGGCTGTCCTGTGACACTGCTCTCCAGGGCTGTCCCATGAGCACCTGCTCTCCCAGGGCTGTCCTGTGCGTACCTGCTCTCCAGGGCTGTCCTGTGACACTGCTCTCCAGGGCTGTCCTGTGAGCACCTGCTCTCCAGGGCTGTCCTGTGTGTACCTGCTCTCCCAGCGCTGTCCCATGGAAGGAAGCTGCTCTGATCTGTGAGCCACAGAAGACTCCTTTGCTTGCCATAACTGCCAGCACATTCTCTTCTCCCTTTCTTTTTTATATTTAGTCATTGTTAATTGGATGAGAAATTTGGCAAGGTATCAAATGGTGACATCATTAATAAAGTGCTTGGCAATGTATCAAAAATTAAAGTGTGTAGCATCTGACCCAGAAATTCTTACAGGAACTTATCGTAAGAAGAGAATCATAAAAATCGACACAGATGAGCAGAAAAGAGGGCTCATTGTAGCCTTGTGGGTAAAGTGAAAACACGGCCACAACCCAAAGGGACCCAGACAGGAAATGGTGAGATGGTGGCTCCACACGGAGAGTGCAGCGCAGCCGCAGTGAGAAAGAGAGCAGGGAAGCTGGCGTGGAAGACGGCCGCAGTGCACTCCTGCCAGGGGCAAAGCACGGGCAGCACGCGATCCACTTCTACAAATCACTCTTCGACTGTCTTCATGTTCATCTTACTTAGACGGCAGGGCGAGGGGGAGGGGCAATGAGCTCTTCACCTCTGCTTCACTCCTCAAACGCCTGCCACAAACGAAGCCAGGCCAGGCCGAAGCCAGGAGTCCAGGGCTCTATCCAGGTCTTTCGTGTGGGTGTCAGGACTCAGCTACTGCAGCCGTCACCTGCTGCCTCCCAGGGCACACGTCGGCAGGAAGCTGGAAGGGGGAGTGGAGCTGGGATTTGAACCCAGGCGCTCCGATGTGGAATGCAGGCCTCCCCAGCTGTGTCTTAACCACTGTGCCAAACTCCCATCTCTATGGAAATCATTTTTATACACGAATACACAGGGGTACACAAAAGACACCCTGCTCTCCATCAGGCTGGTTATCTTTTGATAAGCAACATCTGGGGTGACTTTGACTTTTTTTTATGTGTTTTCCTACAGTGACCGGGTTTATAGAAAAGCACATCCGGGTTTTATATTCACTACAGAGCAGAATAGCACCCGTCACCCCTTCTCTACTCACAGCGGCTCTGTGAATTTCTCTACGAATTCACTTTGGAGACAAAGTTCCCAGCTTTAAGATAAAAGCCTGGCTGGCGCCGTGGCTCACTAGGCTAATCCTCCGCCTAGCGGCACCGGCACACCGGGTTCTAGTCCCGGTCAGGGCGCCGGATTCTGTCCCGGTTGCCCCTCTTCCAGGCCAGCTCTCTGCTGTGGCCCGGGAGTGCAGTGGAGGATGGCCCAAGTACTTGGGCCCTGCACCCCATGGGAGACCAGGAGAAGCACCTGGCTCCTGCCTTCGGATCAGCACGGTGCACCGGCCGCGGCGCGCCAGCCGCGGCGGCCACTGGAGGGTGAACCAACAGCAAAAGGAAGACCTTTCTCTCTGTCTCTCTCTCTCACTGTCCACTCTGCCTGTCAAAAAATAAAATAAAAGATAGAAGCCTGAAACCACTCCCGTAGATTAGTTTCCGGGCAACCAAAATTCCAAACCCTAAGGAACCTCCACAGTCTGGATCCCAAGAACTCCAGTTTCCAGGAACGGTCGGACAACCCTAACATGATTTTAGCAGAGTCAGTCCTGTTCACTCGGATGCTGGCTTCTCACACAACTGCTCTCCGTGGGATCTTTCTTGCTCAGCCCTTCCTGGTCTCGGCCACCTGGCCCAAGGCTTCATCAGACGTCTTCCCTGAAAACCCCAAGTTCACGGCTGACTGAGTCCACCCTTGTTTTTGCACATGCACTGAGCACTTCTCTGGCTCCACAAGCGTGAGAGCCGCCAGCAGCTGCCAGCCCTGCAGAGCCAGTGCCCCCAGCACTCGACAGTCCCGGGCCAGCAGACCTCAAGTTCACGGCACGCAGGCACCATCTTCACTTGGCATTTCAATAAAATAAGCGACTTCATCACTTGTCTACACCTGGACCGGGCAATGTAACCAGTGCAAAGCACGGCCAGAGAGCCAGGAGGGAGCCCACCTCCTCACACTCACATCAAGGCCAGGCTCCCAGCAGGCTGCTAGAATTTCAGCAGTCAACACATTAAGGATTCTGGGAGAGTTTAGATTAAAAACAAAACAAAACAAAACAAAACAAAAAACACAGAAGGAAATCCAACCATATCAATAAACATGAATGGATTAAACAGTCCAGTCAAAAGGCAGAGACTGTCAAATAGCATCAAAAATATGACCCAGGGGCCAGCGCTGTGGCATGGTAGGTTAAGCCTCTGCCTGTGGAGCTAGTGTCCCATATGGGTGCTGGTTTGAGTCCTGGCTGCTCCTCTTCCAATCCAACTCCCTGCTGAAGGCCTGGGAAAGCAGCAGAAGATGGCCCAAGTGCTTGGGCCCCTGCACCCACGTGGGAGACCCGGAAGGCACTCCTGGCTCCTGGCTTTGGATTGGCACAGCTCCAGCCATTTTTTTGTTTGTTTTTCATTTTTCTGTTGCTGTTAATTCAAGGAAAAAAGGTCACATAAAATCCAATCTGTTCTAGAAATGTAAGGAGCCTTTCCAGTACACAGCATTTCAAATATCAAAGTATATGGTAAACATACAAATAAGGAGGAGGTGACACACCTCCTGGGTACAGTACAGGACTTTAAATAAAATAAGCTCCATGAAGTACAACCGGCAGGTGATTCACAACACACTCATATGTGGCTTATCAGCACGCTCACTTAACAACTCAATTGCAGCTTAATAATTCATTTAATAAGTGGTCCAAAAATACCCAATCAAATAAAATATATTTACAAAATAATTTCCTTTAGGGCCGGCGCCGTGGCTCACTTGGTTAATCCTCTGCCTGCAGCGCCAGCATCCCATATGGGCGCCGGGTTCTAGTCCCAGCTGCCCCTCTTCTGTGGCCCAGGAGGGCAGTGGAGGATGGCACAAGTGCTTGGGCCCTGCACCTGCATGGGAGACCAGGAGGAAGCACTTGGCTCCTGGCTTCGGATCGGTGTAGCTCCAGCCGTAGCGGCCATTTAGGGGGTGAAGCAACGGAAGGAAGACCTTTCTCTGTGTCTCTTTCTCTCACTGTCTATAACTCTGTCAAATAAAAAAAATAATTTCCTTTACTCAAACTGTTTCTAAATTAAAGCTTTCACTTACCCGTCATACCCCCCTTCCCCACGATCCCCACCCTGAAAGCTTCAAAATGTTCACGGTGCTATAAATATAAAGTGAACTAGCGGATGGAAGATCTCTCTCTCTCTCTGCCTCTCTCTCTCTGCCTCTGTCTCTCTCTATTTCTCTCCGCCTCTGTCTCTCTTTCTCTCTGCCTCTCTCTCTAACTCTGCCTTTCCAGCTGCACATTCTGTCTGTAAGAGGCACTACAGTCAAAGCTGACTCAGGCCAGAGAGTTCACAGCAGCTGAAGCGCTGATGTCACAGAGATGCAGCCACTACAACCAGGCGTGGGGGGAGGGGAGGGGGAACAGGAGCCAAAACACAAGTCCGGGAAACAGGTTCTCCTGTTCCGCAGCACAGCTCACCACGACTTGGCACACACTTTGTAAAGAACCAGAAGAGATGGGTTCAGAGGTTCCCACCCTGAAGACCGATCAGCGTGCCGGCACACGGGACTGCCGATCGCCCTGAGTTGATGGTTACACACCATGCACGTGCATCAATGACACACTGTACCCACAAACACGTACAACTGAAACACAGTAATGCACTGGGCTCTTCAGACCTTAGTTTTTAATACAGTGCACATTATAACCAATGAGAGCTGGAGGGGCTACACTAACTCCAGACAGACACACTTCAGGCTTTCCAGGACCAGCTCTCCGGCTGGGTGGGTGGTTTAGCCGTCAAGGTGCCCGTGTGCCGTATCCGAGCGCTCAGGCTGGATTCCTGCCTGCGCTCCTGACTCTGCCTTCCTACGCTTGGAAGCAGCCGTGATAGCTCAAGTAACCGGTTCCTGCCACTCACAAGGGGCAACCGAGGGTGAATTCCCGGCTCCTGGCTCCAGCTTGGTGCAGCCTCAGCCTGGGCAGGCGTTGCGGGAGGGAGTCAGCAGGTGGGAGCTCTCTCTCCACGTCTCTCTGCCTTCCTCTCTGTGTGGCTCTGCCGCTTAAATTATATAAACACATGTTTTTAAAATCAAAACATTGAAAAAAAAAAAAGAGTTTGTTCTGGGAACAAAAGCCCACTCAAATGTATTTCCAAGCTAAACACGTATCACGGCGGAGCTCCTGCTGCAGTTCCGAGACCAACACGCAGCATGAAGAAGTCCTTTTGGGTTAGCTTTGCTGCTGTTATTAGAGCCGGCCGAGCCCACTCTCCACACCTGGCACAGACATCACCCAGGCATCTCGCAAACTGGAAACCTAAGTGTGCACTGCGTGGAGAGGGAGCTAGGGGCCACCCAGCCGAGGGGCTCTGACCCTCAGGCAGAGCCGGGAGCTGTCCCCACACGCTGTCCCCCATCTGCACTGGCACCGGCAGCAAGGCATAACAATAAAAGACCTTCTTGATCCCACGACCCCTGGCCTCACAACAGTGCTCCTGTGAGCTTCTGTCCTGGCACGCCCCTTCCCCCAGGCAAGCGCTGGGGCCGCGGGATGGAGAGGGACGGACAGGAGCTCCCCGGTGGGGGCTGCTGGCCTGGACGCGCCCCGAGCAGGCGGGCACTTCTGGGGCAGATGTGCACTTGCTGCCACTGACGGCTGCGACTTGCCCCAGCTGACCTCCCAACCCTCTGCCCCTCCGCTCACTCCACGGGTGCCAGGGACACCCAGAGAGCTCACGAAACAGAGACAGACAGACAGGATTCAGGTTGTTCCAGCGAGAGGAGGTGAGGGGGACAGGGCGTGTTTCAGGAGGGCAAAAAGGATATTTTTCAGTTTTTTCTCTACTTTTCATAAAAGTGTGAATTTTATCTCCTCCACCCTCCCCCTGTTAAGGCAACAGTCAACACGGGGAGCAAACAGAATCCGACAACACGCTTGGTGTTTTCTCGGAAGCAACAGAGCCAGCGGCCGCTGCCTGCTCCCCGCTGAGGGGAGGGTGGGGGCGCTGCCCTGCAGCCCGGCCCGGGCCCAGCCCTGCCAGCCGCGTACCTCGCACATCTGCAGCTGGAAGAACCGCCTCTCCTTCTCCATCTCTTCTGCGATTTCGGCGCCGCTGATCTCGGTGCGAATCATCCCGTGGAGCTTGGCGTGCTCCTTCTTCTCCTTCTCTATCTTGGTTCTGTGCACAGGGAGGGGAAAGGCAAGGATCAGGAGAGGCTCGAGGGCCGTGCCCAGAGACAACAGCGCAGCCCCTGATCGCCAGGAAGGAACGCTCCTGGGCTCATGGAAACGCCAAACGCGACCGTCCCGCTGCTTACTCAGCAAAGGCTTCCCAAGGACCTGCCCGAGGCAGAGGCCACAGGAAGTGTGCATGTGCCTCAGTTTCCCCAGCACCTGCCTGCCCTGAGAGGCCCCGGGGGAAGCACCCGGCCAGCTCTCCCGCCCTGCCCTACACAGGGCCCACCATGACAGAAGCAAACAAGCCGCCCGCTCAGCTGCTCAGCCTCAACCCCCTTTGCTCTGAACTCTGTCACCCAGATATCAAGTGTGCAGCCCGGCTATACACTGCCCAGAAAAGAGCAATGCGGGTCGAAGGAGCCCAAAGTCATGTGGTCCAAGAAGGGCTTAGAAGAGCCAGAGAAAACGAGAATAAACAACAACAGCAGAAAGCAGTCCGAGGCTGGCGCGGCTGCCGTGAACACCACGGGGTCGGCACGCCCCGAGAGCCTCTGGGTCAACACTCAAAGACGCTTTCTTTCGTAGTCGGTCGGCGGGGCGGGCGTGCGGCCCAGCGGTTAACACGCCAGTCAGCAAGCTGGCGTCCCACGTCACAGCTCCGGGTCCAAGCCCGGCTTCGGCCCCTGACTCCCACATCTTGCTAACGCACACGCTAGGAGGCAGCCATGGCGGCTCAAGGGACTGAGTTACCGCCACCTAAGTGTAGGACTGAGATCCCGGCTGCAACCCTGGCCAAGGCCTGGCCGTGGTGGGCATCTGGGCGGCACACCAGTGGGTGATGGCTCCCTCTCCCTCTGCCTCTCAGGTAAGCTTTTTAGTTGTGCAATGATGACATGAGCTATCCCAGAGCTCCAGGCTGCCCACCACTGCGGGGAGCAGGAGGGAGTGTGAAGAGGCACGGGGACAGGTGCTAAAGATGCCCCCCCTCCCACATCAGAGTCCCGGCTACTGCACTTCGGATCCAGTCTGCTGCTAATGTGTCCCGGGAAGCAGCAGACCAGGGCTTAAGTGACCGGGGACCTGCCAACCACGTGGAACAGCCAAACGGAGTTCTGGCTCCTGGCTTCAGCCTGGCCACCACTGGCTATTGTGGGCATCTGAAAGTGAGCTAGAGGATGGAAGATCTTTCCCTCTCCTCTCTCTCTCTCCGCCTTTCAAGAAGATGAAAATTAATGAGCATTTAAAGAAAACAAGGCCCAGCGTGCCATGTGCTTCTTCAGCTTGGAGCACAGTGCTAGGCACAGAGTAGCCACACGACAACTTGAAGTCAAGAACAGAAACGAAAAGAAGGCCATCCAGAGGGGATGCTGCCGCTCGCTGACTTCATGCTCCCAGGAGGCAGTGCAGAGGGAGGCTCTGAGGTCCCTGGACAAAAATCACACACCTCCAGGGTCCCTCTGCCAAGGGACCAAGTCCAGACAGCAGCCACTCTCTTACCAGTCAGGTACAGGACAGTAACGACCGCCTGCCCCAGGTCCCAGGTGTTACTCACCAGGGGTAAATGAGTAGCACAAGTTTGTGGATAAGGAACTACTTCATTGGGTGTGGCACAGTGGGGTAAGAACTTACAACACCAGCCTCCCATATGGGCGTCGGTTCGAGTCCCACTTGCTCTACTTCAGTCCTAGCTCCTAGCTAATGTGCTTGGGAAAAGCCAAAGAAGATGGCCCAAGTGCTTGGGCCCCTGGCACCCAAGTGGGAGGCCTGGATGGAGCTCCTGGCTCCTGGCTTGGGCCTGGCCCAGCCCTAGCAGTTGGAGCCATTTAGGGAGTGAATCAGCAAATGGAAGATCTCTCTGTCTCTGTCTCTGTCTCTCCCTCTCCCTCTCTTTCTGTAACTATGCATTCCAAACAAATAAAAGGTTTTTTTATTTTTTATTTTTTAAATTTTTTTTATTTATTTTTTTGACAGGCAGAGTGGACAGTGAGAGAGAGAGACAGAGAGAAAGGTCTTCCTTTGCCGTTGGTTCACCCTCCAATGGCCGCCGCGGCTGGCACACCGCGCTGATCCGATGGCAGGAGCCAGGTGCTTCTCCTGGTCTCCCATGGGATGCAGGGCCCAAGCACTTGGGCCATCCTCCACTGCACTCCCTGGCCACAGCAGAGAGCTGGCCTGGAAGAGGGGCAACCGGGACAGAATCCGGTGCCCCAACCGGGACTAGAACCTGGTGTGCCAGCGCCGCAAGGCGGAGGATTAGCCTAGTGAGCCGCAGCGCCGGCTACAAATAAAAGGTTTTTAAAATTATTTTATTTATCACAGAATTACTTCATGCTTTATTTTAAAGATTTATTTATTTGAAAGGCAGCATGACAGAGAGAGGGATCTTCCATCCTCTAGTTCACTCCCCAAATAGACAGAATGGCTGGGGTTGGGCCAGGCTGAAGACAGGAGCCTGGCACTTTATCCGGGTCTCCCACGTGTGCTGCAGGGAGTTAAACACTTGGGCCACCTTCCACTGCTTTCCTAGAGACATTAGCAGGGAGCTGGATCGGAAGTGGAGCAGCCAGGACTTGAACTGGTGCACTCTTCGATGGGATGCTGGCTTCCCCGGTGCATCACCACGCCGGCCCCACACTTCACATTTTAAAGGGTGCTGCTCTCTCCTCCGCAAGTTCTAGGACTGCGGGAGTCCTTCTAACCCTCCCGGTCTGTGCAAGTCTTGGATTCACAGAGTGATGTCACTCCCCTTCCACCCCTCCCTTCCTGAGCCAGAGCTGGGTCTCCAGAGTCCTCTGCAGAAACGCCGATGCCCTCGGTCCGGTCACTCCCAGAAGCCCTCCTTGCAGGTGCCCGAGGGGCGCAGCGGGGGGATGCCCTCGGTCCGGTCACTCCCAGAAGCCCTCCTTGCAGGTGCCCGAGGGGCGCAGCGGGGGGATGCCCTTGGTCCGGTCACTCCCAGAAGCCCTCCTTGCAGGTGCCCGAGGGGCGCGGCGGGGGCAGCGGAGGGGACGGACACGGGTGTGCCGGCCCTGGTCCGGCTACCCTCCTCCTGGCTGACCAGCAACACCCCCCAGCCTGGCTTTTCAGCTGTGAAGAAGGAGCGCCGACCCCTGCCCCTCCTGCGCATCCCCCTGGGACAGCACCCAGACAAGCCCTCGACGGCCCCGGGGTGACGGGTGGGGAGCCCCTCCAGGTGGACTACAACGCTGCGGCCATCCTCCAACACCGGGCGGGCTCGCAGGAGCCTGGTCCAGGGAGAAATTGCACACCCGGCCTGCGAGCTACAGCAGGATGGGAACTGAAGGCTTCCACAGCAAGGACGAGAGGCAAGGGCTCACTGCTCTGAGCTCGGTAATCGTTCACCACTGGGAAGACGCCCAAACCTGCCTAACGTAGGTGACTAAACAGAAGCGTCTGAGATGACTTCCTTCTGAACACCTCTCCCTTCACCAGATGGCTGCAGCGAAGGCGCACACTTCCACCCAGAAAGTTCTGCACTGCCCGCGGCACAGAGATTACAGAGTTAACAGGAGGCATCGGAAACAGCTCCCGCGTCTCCAGTACTTCCGAGACACAGTCACCAGCTCACCTCTAGCTGGGCCTAGGAGCAAAACACTGAGGTCGGGAATGCCACGGTGACCTCCCGAAGCCACCCAGCTACAGCCTCGTGTGTGAAGCAACTGTGCGTCAGCTAACCCGCATGCAGTGGGATTCTCTCTCTCTCTCCCTCCCTCCCTCCCTCAGGCTAAAGGAAGATGGTTTTCACCAATCACCAGGAAGTTCCACTTGGCAAACTGTGACGCGACAAGCAGGGAAGGTGTCTAAAGAGCACCACCAGAGACGCGGTGCCTGGCCTCCCCCACGCACTTCCCTGAAGGCAACATCGCATGCGCACAGACACCACAGAGGGAGGGACGAGGGCAGCGCAGGGAGCCCAGCGCCACGGCCCGCACACGGGAGCAGGTGTCGCCTAACCTCCACAGCAACCTGGCTGCAGGTGAATTCCTTCCTGGATTCAGGCTTGCTGAGACAAGCCCTCGGAGCAACAAACTTGGATTAAACTGACATTGCAAATGCCCTACACGCAGGAAAGCACTCACATTTTTGTTTCATAGTCCTTCCACGCTTTGTCAAAAGGCTTCTTCAGATCCTGTGAACAGAGAGACGTCAGTTAAGTTGGACAAATCGTTAGCTTCTGTGCAATTAAACCTCCTTACTCTAGACCAGTCCTGAACGGAGCGTTCACTTCCGTAATAAATGCTGTGAGTAATCCCGGGAAAATGAAGAGCCTACAGCACAGCCCTTCAATGAGACGAGGGCTGGCATTTTCCTCCCTTTTAAAATATCTGATACAGGGGCCGGCGCTGTAAAGCCGCCGCCTGCAGTGCTGGCATCCCTTATGGGCACCAGTTCGAGTCCCGGCTGCTCCACTCTGATCCAGCTCTCTGCCATGGCCGGAGAAAGCAGCAGAGGATGTCCCAAGCCCTTGGGTCCCTGCATCCATGTGGGGGACCAAGAAGAAGCTCCTGGCTTCGGATTGGCTCAGCTCCAGCCATTGAGGGCATTTGGGGAACGACCCAGTGGTTGGAAGAACTCTCTCTCTACCTCTGCCTCTGCCTCTTTCTCTGTAACTCCGCCTTTCAAATACATAAACAAATTAAAAATATATCTGATCTAGAATAAACCAAATGCACACAACAGTAGAGACACCCTCACCAGGTCCCCAGCGCCCAGGTACAATCCTCGCGGCCTATCTTGCATCACCTGCACTCTGTTTCCTACCCCAGGTTAATTCTGAGGTTGAACCCAAAATACAACATTCAATATGCAAATATTGGGGCCAGC